CTCTGCCTCCCAAGTGCTGGGATTAAAGGCGCGTGCCATCACCGCCCTGCGATTTGTTTGTTTTTCGAAACAGGGTTTCTCTGTAGTTTTAGAACCTGTCCTGGAACTCACTCTGTAGACCAGGCCTTGAACTCATAGAGATCCGCCTGCCTCTGCCTCCCCCAGTGCTGGGATTAAAGGCAGGCGTGTGACTTTTAAAACCAGCTTTCCACTATTAGTCAGAATATCAGTGAGCTGCTAAAATCTGCAGGGAGTAGTTAGGTGGGCACTTACACACTGCTAGTGCAAGTTGAGCTTGATTATCTTACTGGATGTATCGTGATGAAGTATGCAGTCCACTTTGTTGTCCTGGTCTGAGCCCCGTTTTTATAATTGCCATCTTGATAGGAAATAGAATCCATGTGAGATCCAAACCTCCCTGAGGGTGTTCCTAGACTGGGCTTGAGGTGGGAAGATGGACCCTGACTGTGGGTGGCATCTATTATCTGAATCCAGCTACCAGCATCACCTCTCTGCGTGCATGTGTGACCAGCTGCCTCATTCTCCTGCCAGGACCTCCCCACAGTGAAGGACTGTTGTTACACATAAATTGTGAGCCAGGGTAAACCCTGCCTTAAAGTATTTTTCTGAGATATGTTGTTAAAGCAAAGAGGAAAATAATTACACCTCCCGACTTAGGGCCTCTGTACTTAGTTGTTTGGGTTTTTGTTGTGGTTTGGTTTGGTATGGTTTTAATCTAAAAGACTTTTTCTACCACTGTCTACTTAGTTGGCACATAGTTTCCTTCAAACCTTTGGATATGGAACTTCTCAGTATATTTTACCCTAGTTATTGTTTAATATTTCAGTGACCTAACTCCAGTGCATTCTCTCTCTCTCTCTCTCTTTTTGTTTTTGTTTTTGTTTTTCAAAATAAAGTTTCTCTGTGTGGCCCTAGCTGTCCTGGAAATGACTCTGTAGACCAGTCTGGCCTGGAACTCTGCCTCCCAAATGCTAGAATTAAAGGTGCAACCTGCCAACTGCCCAGTTAATTCCAGTGTATTTTTTATATTCTTACCATTCCTGCTTTCTTTTATCCATACTCAGAATTTTGTTTTAATATTTTTCCAGTGCCTTTTCCAGCTCCTTTAGAATATAAGCCCCATGAGAGCAAACATGTTTGTTTTATGCATTGATACAGTTCTCTAATCCAGTGTTTGACACAGAGTAGATACTAAAGTGTATATTGATGGATGAACTTTGGGACTAGCCCTATGAAGCTGGTGAAGAGGCTCACACATGCACAAGGATTGGCAAAAGGTCTATGAGTTCTAGACTAGCTTGAGCTACAAAGGAAGATCCTATCACAAAACAAACAAACAACAACAACAACCCACCAACACTCTGGCAGCCATGTTTGAAAACTCAATATGTGAGAGATTGTGAAATTTCATAAGTTGAAATCAAAGGGAGAGAAAATCCTCTACCTTCAAAAGAAAGGCTGGAGCAGTAGAAACAAAATAGGCAAATTGTTGTAATGAGTCAGATAATATGGATATGCCCACAAACATTGCCTCTTGATTTTATTTCCTTTTTGATTAATTGACTAAGCATTTTGCCTGTATGTATATCTGTGCACTGCAGACAGAAGCCAGAGGGGGCACCTCAGGAACTAGAGCTGCAGGTAGTTGTTAGTTGCTCTGTGGTCCTGGAGAATGAACCCTCATCTTCTGAAAGAGCAGCCAGAGCTCTTAACTGCTGAGCCATCTCTCCAGCCTCAGATTTTACTTCTTTTAGCTGTTTAATTTTGTGAGCAGCAAAGAGGTTGAGTCAATTTAAATGATCGTGTTCTCCCTTTCACATTAAAGAACCAAGCAGCACTGTCAATGAAGGCTGGCCTGGCAGTCTGGCTGGCAGGGAGGGAGAAGAGGAGTGAGAGTTATTAAAAGTCTCAAATAAGATGCAAAAGACCCAAGATGTTCTGAGATCTGTAAAATGTGGTACCAATTTTTTGTGTTCAAATGATTTTAATTTAATTAGAGTGTACATTTAAAAATATACAAGTAAAAAGTTAACCTGGGGGGAAAAAAAACTCTTTGAAACATTTTTCAAAATTCTATTTATTTTTATGTAAATAGTTATTTTGCCTGCACTTATGCCTGGGCATCATGTGTATGCTTGGTCCCGATAGAGGCCAGAAGAGAAAGTCAGATTCCCTTGAAACTAGTTACAAATGGTTTGTGCTGCCATGTGACTGGCAGGAATTGAACCCAGATTCACTGACAGATATGCCAGTTCTCATAACTATTAAGCTATCTTTCCAGCCTAGACTCTGATTATTTCTTTAGAAATTAATTCTAGAAATAACTTTTTAAAAGTAGATTAGATTACTAGTGAGAACTAGAGGCTTGAAAGTTACCAGTGGTTACAAAGTTTCTATTTGAGATGGCAGAAATGTTTTAGGAACATACAGAAGACAATTGTGTTTAACGCTAGGAAAGTAATGAAGTGTTCTGAATTGCCCAAACAGTGTGAGATAATCTTCTCACCACTGTGACAAACTACTCAAAGAAATAACTTAAGTGGGATTTATTATAATTCATGGTTTCAAGGAATACAGACCCTTACAGCAGTGAAGGATGGTGTTTGGCATGATCTGTGAGGCAGCAGCTAGGACACCAAGATGGAGTGTAAAGCAGTTATAGTCCTCAAGGCCTGCCCCTCCTGGTGGCCTAGATCTCCTAGGTTCTGCCACCTCCCAGAACAGTGCTGACAGATGGCGACCAGGTGTCAGACTCTGGAGGGAATTAAACAAGTGGTTAAAATGGCAAATTTTATAGTTAGTACATTAGAGAATTTCAAAACAATAAGAGTGTCTAGGGTTGGCTAGATGGTTCAGTGGGTTAAAGGCACTTGCCACAGAAACCTGGTGACCTGAGTTTGATCCCTGGATTCCACATATAGCAGAAGGAGAACTGACTCCACCAAGTTATTCTCTAACTTCCATACATGTGCAGTGGTGTGAGTGTGCATGTACATGCATGCCCACCACATGCTGGTGTACACAAATACAATATTTTAAAGTAGAACTTATTCTTTTAAAAAAATAATATATTAAAAACTATCTGAGGGCTGATGAGATGGCTCAGTGGATAAAAGTGTGTGCCTTCATGTGTTCACTCACACAAAATAAATATGATAATAATAAAAGAAAACTGTATGAACAAAATAGGTACCAAAACTTATAAACTGAGACTGTGCTTTCGTTTCCTGGCCACCCAGACCCAAATAATCACACAAAACTACATTAATTGCAATACTGTTTAGCCAATGGCTCAGGTCACATCTTAAATTAACCTAGCTAGCTCTCACATCTTAAATTAACCCATTTCTGTTACTTTATATTTTACCACGAGGCTTGTGGTTTGTTACCTTGCAGCTTGCTTCTTAGGTGACTTCATGTTGTCTGCCTGATTCCATCATTCTCCCAGCAATCAGTTTAGTTTTCCCCCTACCTATATTCCTCCCTGCCATAGGCTAAAGCAGCTTCTTTATTAACCAATGGTAATAAAACATTCTTAGCATACAGAGAGGAATCCCACATCATCTCCCCTTTTCTGTCTAAATAAAAAGGAAAGTTTTAACTTTCACATGGTAAATTACATAAAACAAAACAGATATGAAGCAAGAATTACAGTCACAATATTTAATCTATATCTGGTAAAATTAAAGGAAATATTCTATTATCCATATTTTGTCTGTGAGTTTAAAGTTTCATATCTAATTTATCTTTTATCATAACTAAGAAAAAACTATAACTGTCTTCAACTCTATCAGAGACTCCAGAAGGATATATTACCTAAGTTAACAGGAAGTGCATTGTAAGCAACTTCTAAAACTCTAGAATTGATGGAGACATTTTGCTGCCTGGACAGTCACCCAAAGTTCTTTTGTAATGTTGGGACATCATTTTCAGCGTATAGTCCCATAGTATCTGGCAGATTTTTCCATGAAGCAGGAAATTTGAAAGATTGTTTTGCCTACATCGGCAGTTTGTCAGTCACTTTCTTCTGTGTCCTGCAGACTCTTTCATGAAGCAGAACCCTGAAGGACTGCCTCACCTTCTTTTGACAAGTTCAGCAGTCATTTTTCTGTGGGTCCTGAATGTCCAGTTCATACAGCGTACTGTCAAGCAGTCCAGACAAGGGCAATTTCTTGTCCAAATATCTAGCCTTGTCACATTAAATGCAAATTCCATAACAAATTTCTTTACTACCCATCAACCTCTCTGAAGTAATTTGTGTTGCTAGAAGCAGACATGTCATACTCCCAAGAAAAGTGTAAGTTTTTCAAATCTTTTAAGTGCCATATTCTGTAGGTCTTTGAAGTGTTGAAGATTATCTAGCTGAAATATATTTCTGTATATCTAGAAAACTTAACTAACATGACTACAAATTTGATTAGTATAAATGACTATTAATCTGTAATTTTTAATTATATATTACATTTTTAAAAGATTTATTTATTATGTGTACAGTATTCTCAGTATTTTGTCTGCATATATGCCTGCAGGCCAGAAGAGGGCACCAGATCTCATTACAGATGCGGTTGCTGGGAATTGAACTCGGGACTTTTGGAAGAGTGGGCAGTGCTCTTAACCACTGAGCCATCTCTCCAGCCCCCTATATATTACATTTTTTAAATGAGCTGTATAAACATAATACCTTAAACAAGGGTAGAAATATACATATAACAAAATGACCTTAAATTTGTATCAAAAAACCAAAGTTCATGCCAACATAAAGTATTCATTTTTATATCATATACCAAAAATTGTTAGTGCTGAAGAAGTTACCTTTTGGGGAAGAAAGTAGTGGTGTGTCAGGAATGTACTGGTAAGTTTATATATTTTATTGTATGAATGTTAATATTGTTTCTACCATTCTGCAGTGCAGAGACAGACATATTGCATGTATTGCTTATAAAAAATAAGGTTGCACTATTTGGTGACTTTTCTCTTAGAAGTTTGAAAGCTGTTCATTTATACCGTCAGAAATAGTCCATGAAGCCGGGCGGTGCCGCACACCTTCAACCCCAGCACTCGGGAGGCAGAGGCAGGCGGATCTCTGTGAGTTCGAGGCCAGCCTGGTCTACAAGAGCTAGTTCCAGGACAGGCTCCAAAGCTACAGAGAAACCCTGTCTCGGGGAGAAAGGAAGGAAGGAAGAAGAGAGAGAGAGAGAGAGAGAGAGAGAGAGAGGGAGGGAGGGAGGGAGGGAGGGAGGGAGGGAGGGAGGGAGGGAGGGAGAGAGAGAGAGAGAGAGAGAGAGAGAGGGAGGGAGGGAGGGAGGGAGGGAGGGAGGGAGGGAGGGAGGGAGGGAGGGAGGGAGAGAGTGAGTCTGTGAAGAGACTGAAAGCCAAGCCTCCCTAGTCCCCTTGCCTAACTAAGTGAGGCTTTTCTTCTGTGTCTTTGTAGGTTACCCCACAGCCTACCCAGCAGCTGCCCCTGCCTACAATCCCAGCCTGTACCCGACCAATAGCCCCAGTTATGCTCCAGGTAAGCAATGGGTGGGAGCAGCAGGGACGAAGAGGTGGAAGTAGGCCTTCATTGGTAAAAACAAATCCACCAGTTGGTCCTTCTCTTGAGACTGCCTGGAGTCAGCCAGTTCTGGCTTGATTCTCTTTGGAATCCCCTCTGGGAACTGGGGCAGAACAACCTTGGGGTGGGAGTGGGAGCAGAACCTCCTTCATTCTCCTGGGACTTAAGGGTGGTCCTTCTCTCCTATGCTGGACTATATGAGACATGCACCACCCCTTGAAACTGCTTCATCTCTCTCAAGCAATGTCCAAATTAATTTTTTGTTCAGTCTTGCCTGAGGCTGCCATTGGGAATCATTCTCATGTTCCCTCCCTCCCTCCCTCCCTCCCTCCCTCCCTCCACTCATTCCCCTTCCTACTCCTTCCCTCCCTTTCCTTCTGGGGTATAAATTTGGAATAGAGTGATAGACTTGCCACCAGAGTAAAGAGCCTTTTTACAGGCTAAGACAATTTACTTGTTTTCCAGAAATAGAAGACATAGAACACTTCTTGAACAGAGAGATTAAAATGGGTTTGAAATACTGAAGATGATGCTAGGTATGATGGCATACACTTGTAATCCCTGCACCTGGAGGCTGAGGCCAGCTTGAGTTCAGAAAGAGAGAGAGAGAGAGAGAGAGAGAGAGAGAGAGAGAGAGAGAGAGAGAGAGGCCAAAGAAAGAAAATATTGCACCACTAATGTTGCTCCTGGGCTCAGTCAGTGCTCAACACTCATGGTCAGGAAAGGGAATGGGTTCTACGGTTTGAAGTCCTGGGTTTGAATCCTGATTAGTCTTCTCCATAGGTGTACAGCCTTGGATAAGTCACTGTTCCAAAATTCACGTGTAACCATTTACCTCAGGGTTACAGATGACTTTACATAAATTCTTTATTCACTCACTAAGCATTTGTTGTATGTCCTCTATTCTGGGATAGAAAAAGTAAAAGTTGGGGCTGGAGAGATGGCTTGGTGGTTAAGAGCACTGACTACTCTTCCAGAGGACCCAGGTTCAATTCCCAGTACCCACATGGCAGCTCACAACTATCTACAAATCCAGTTCCAGGGGATCTGAGACCTTCACACCAATGCACATAAAATAAAGTTAAATAAATCATAAAAAATTCTTTAAAAAAAAAGAAAAAGTTGTCATCTTTGCCTAAAGGAGCTAATTAATTTTGGATCATGGCATATTAATAAATAAATTGTGCTACAGCACAGAAAGTAATGTAAAAAGAACACAGATTAGAGCAGAGGTAGAACCACAGTCTACCTTGAGGTGATAGTGATAGTAGAGACTTGAGGTAGAAGTAGGAGGGGCCTTTGGAAACACCAGGGAGGAGGACACATTACTGGGCAGAGCGTGCTTGGAAAGGCAAGGTGGAGGTGTGGAGCCTGACTGCTAAGCCTAGAACTAGTAGGTTTGGTTGACACATAGACTGAGAAGGACTGGATGAATCTGAGCTACAGACTACAAGGAACAGATTTGGAAAGACATTAAATGCTACATCCTCCCTCCTCCAATTTCAGTGAATATTATGGAGTTGAAAAGCCCTCAAGAATTCTTTAATTCTGGGCTGGAGAGATGACTCAGCAGTTGGGAGAATTGACTGTTCTTCTAGAGGACCCGAATTCAATTCCCAGTACCCACATGGCAGCTCACAACTGTCTGTAACTGACACCCTCACACAGACATTCATCCACACACAGTGCACATAAATTAAAAATGAATGAATTATTTTTTAAAAAAGAATTCTTTAATTTAGTCTCTTGTGGCTGTAGTCAGGGCGGTGGTGAAACTGGAAGGCGGAGTGCAGTGAAGCAAGAGAGGAGAGGTGATGTATAGCATGGAAGGAGCAAGTACTAAACAAGTCACAGATGCAGAACAGCACAGAACTAGTCCTCCCAGCCGCTGGCAAGCAGGGCTCCTGTGTTCAGTTCCCTTCCTTGTTTGGGAAATTGAGTGACAGGAGGAGGTAGAGTGCCGCAGTGGGGGAGCAGCTCAGGCTAGCACCCATTTCATTCAGGCTCCAAGCCCTAGCAGTGCACTAATTTCTCACAGTATTCTGGTGAGAGATTTTAGAATTATTTAAGGGGCAATTTGTCATGTAATTGGCAAGAATAAAATACTGCTGTTAAAGGTGTAGTAGTGCACGCCTTTATCCCAGCATTTGGGAACAGAAGCAAATGGGTCTCTATGAGTGAGTTCCAGGCCAGCCTGGTCTATATAGTAAGTTCTGGGCCCAGTAGGGCTATATAATGAGACCCTTAAAAAAGGTAAAGAAAGGAGAGGAAGAGGGAGAGGAAGAGAGAGAGAGAGAGAGAGAGAGAGAGAACTAAAACAAAAAAACTACGATTAATTCTATGTTTCCTTTGTGTTAGCAGTAATTTGAAGCTCTTTATGGATATTAGCTTGTTTTTTATATTACAACATACTGAGTACTTTTCCCCCCACAATTTCCAATTGGGAAAACAAGCTTAAAGAAGTTCGGCAACTAGAACCACATTCTGGTTAACTGTCTGTCGCTGCTGAGGCAGTGGGCAGCACTGAGGTGTTAGATAGGAGCTCCCAGCCTGGAGAAGGCAGCAGTGCAGAGAGGAGTTTGAAATTGTTTCTGTTTTTTTGTTTTGTTTTTGTTGTTGTTTGGTGATGGTGATGGTGAGTTATTTGTTTATTTGTTTTTCAAGGCAGGGTTTCTCTAGCTTTGGAGCCTGTCCTGGAACTCACAGAGATCCACCTGCCTTTGCCTCCCGAGTGCTGGGATTAAAGGCGCGCACCATCACTGCTGGGCTCTGAGATTATTAAAACCATGAAGAGCCTGGAAAGCTGCTGCGTAGGTAGAGTGTTACGTTTCAAATAGTCAAGTTAAAAAACAAAACAAAAAGCCGATATTCAACCTGATTAATGTTTTAAAAAGTCAACATCTTTTAATCTATGATTAAGCCAGACCATTTGCTCAGAAACCAAAATACACAATAAAGGATGGCACTGGTGCATTGTGTTAGCGAGCCCCACACCGGCCGGGCATAGTGACACACACTGTTAGCCTTACACTTCGGAGTTGAAGACAGGACGATCAAGAGTAGGCCATTCTTACTGCAAAATCAGTATGGAAGGGAAGGAAAAAAGAGGTATCAGACTGAATTAACTGTTTCAGATGTTTGTGTGACTGGGGGGGGGGGGGGGGGACCTCTCCCTTTTGAGACACACACACACTCATGCTCACACACTCATAGCTGGGTCTATTTCATATTTTGTGGCTGACCTCTACCTTCACAGGTCTGACTATTGGGGGTGAAGCTCTTGCCATAAAGGCTCAAGGTTTGAGGGAAATTTATAGGTGACTCTCAGCTTCTTGCCAGAGCTGGCCGTTTGTGATGCAGTGAAGTGCCTCTAAGGAGCAGCCATGAAAGTTTAAATTTCCTTCAGTTACTTCAAGGAGACTAAGAAATTGCTCAGAGAGAGCTATTTCTAGCAGCTCTGTGCTCCCTTAAGTTAATACAGGGGAAAGCTCATTCTTCCATTGGTTCTGAAAGCCCTGTGGGTACCTGGGCTTCTTCCCAAGTGCTTACCAACTCCAGGGACTGTATTTAGATACTTAACTTTGCAGAAGGCAAAAGCTGGCCACGACTTTTTTTTTAGAATTCAGGGAGCAAACGGCTTATCATAAAAATGATAATGTAATTTGAAAGTGAAAAAATAAATAGAAAACTAATGTCAAAACTCTCTCATAAGAAGCATGTTCTCAGCCAGGCGGTGGTGGCCCACGTTTTTTAATCCCAGCACTTGGTGTCTGAGTTCGAGGCCAGCCTGGTCTACAAGAGCTAATTCCAGAACAGCCAGGACTGTTAGACATAGAAACCCTGTCTCAGAAAACAAAGAAACAAGCCTCCCAGCACTCGGCAGGTGAATCTCTGTGAGTTTGAGGCCAGCTTGGTCTACAGAGTGAGTTCCAGGACAGTTAGGACTGTTACACAGAGAAACCCTGTCTCAAAAACCAAAAGGAAGAAAAGGGAGGGAGGGAGGGAGGGAGGGAGGGAGNAGAAGAGGAAGGAAGAAGGGGAGGGAGGGGGGGGAGGGAGGGAGGGAGGGAGAGGAAAAACAAAAACACATGTTCTCATCTCTTTTTTTTTAAGATTTATTTATTTATTATGTATACAACATTCTGCCTTCATGTATGCCCGCACGCCAGAGGAGGGCGCCAGATCTCAGTACAGATGGTTGTGAGCCACCATGCGGTTGCTGGGAATTGAACTCAGGACCTCTGGAAGAGCAGCCAGTGCTCTTAACCTCTGAGCCATCTCTCCAGCCCCCTGTTCTCGTCTCTTGTCTCCCACTGAAGTATGCATATAGTTTTCCCATTCCCATTTTAGATATTCCAAATTTGGGGGAAAGTAGAGGAAAATAATCTGTTTCTAAACACCTGTACAAGTTACAAGTGTGCCTTTTTACCTTTGTCTTGTAAGCTAGAGTTTCTTGCCTCCAGATTAGCTCAGAGAATATTAAGTAACTTACAGAATTAGATTTAAAATGCCATGGATTTGGGGCCAGAGAGATAACTTAGCAGTTAAGAGTGCTGGCTGCCCTTCCAGAGGTCCTGAGTTCATTTCCCAGCAACCACCTAGTGATACACACCCATCTACAATGGGATCTGCTGCCCTCTTCTGGCATGCAAGCAAACATGCAGACAGAGCACTTATACCACCCCCCAAAATGCCATGGATCTGAGATTCAAACCCATTTGTCTGATCCTATAGCCATGTTCCTTCTACAGCATAACACTGTCCTAGATAGAATATCTCTATACTGAGCCTGGTTCTCTGAGAGGCCTGTGATGGCCATGATTTTTTTGAAGTGGTCTTAAGATGAACAAGCAAAGAATAGGAACTTTTCGGTTACTTCTCTGAAAGATCCTGTGGCACCCAAGGAGGTGCTTCTCTGCAGCTGATGAACTTTCCTGGATGGCAAGTCTGTCACCCTTTCCAGGGGGAGGTATTTCCCTTTTTCTCCATTCACTGCTTCTTATGCAGCTGGGGGAAACTGCTGTCTTGAAACAAGTCTGTTATATAACTGCAGTATGTACAACTTTGCACAGTTCCTAGTGGTAATTTCAACTAACATTTCTGTCCAACAGAGTTTCAGTTCCTGCATTCAGCTTATGGTAGGAGAGCTATTTTTCCTCATCTGTATTATGGCCTATGAATGTGTTATCTTGTAACAATGATGGATTCCCTGTCCTTTCCTCCCCAAATCCCACCTCCTAGGCTTGGGCTCCCCCAGGTGGCTCAGCAGCAGTTCCTATAGCATGCAGGAACATGTCTGATGGTGCAAAATCATGGGTTGGAGACACACATGAACCATTCCCATGGGGCTATAATGAAGGATCATGGCACTAAAAGGCATCGCACACCTTAACCTGACTGCCTGATTCAAACAAATGAATGAAAATTCTAGGGTCTGTGTGTGGCTCCTCTTTTGGCTTTTTGATAGGCTCTGAGGAGCCCCTTGATTATGACTATTATGAATAATACAAAATACAGTCAGATGGCCCCAGGCTCAGATTTTCCATCTCTGTTAGCAGTCTGACATGTTTGAAGACCTGGTTGACCTTAGATACACTCTGTTGCCTTCATCCTCATTTTCGGAGCATTTTTCTGGATGATGAAAGGTATGGGTCAAGTGTGCCAGTGGGTGAGAGATCTGAGTTGAGTTCTCTGGGCAGTGTGGACTCCAGGACCAAGGCACCACGGGAACTTCTGGGCACCTGTGAGGGTCCCAACAGTGTAACTTGACTAGGTCCTTCTTGTAGACAGTAAGGGACCATGGGAGAGACTTGCCACTTTTACCACACTCATGATGTTTTTGTGAAGTCTTTGAATGTTTTCCCAACTTTTAATCTTGCTGTAGAAAAGTGAAATTTTTACACATGCTACATCTTTCAGAAGATGAGCTATGAAATTTCTTTTCACTACTGCTGTGGGCTGTGTGATCTTGAGCAACTTACTAATGTCCCCAGGCCATAAAGTTTTTCATATCAAATGATCTCAATGTTCTTTTAAATGCTAACATACCATCCTCTTGTAATTTTTATTATTTCAATAGTGCTAGCTACAGAACTGTTTCACTTACCACTTATAAGAGGCTGGGGTTTTTTTGGTTTTGTTTGTTTGTTTGTTTGCTGCAGAATATATGAACTCGAACAACTCTAAAATGCTAGAGAAGGCTGCATGCTACTCCTGCTTCCAATTAAAGCAGTGATTCTCAACCTGTTTGATTCCTAACAGTAAAATTACAGTTATAAGTAGCAACAAGAGTAATTTTATGGTTGGGGGTCACCACAACATGAGGAACTGTATTAGAGGGTTGCAGCAGTAGAAAGGTTGAGAACATCGAGTGTGAATGGAGAACTTCACACAGTTCTACGCCAGGCCTTCCGGGAACTGAGATAGTCAACTGTGTGGGATGATGCGGTCAGAGTGCACAGAGGCAAAGACTTCATGGTGACCTGTGAGCCAGAAGAACTGGTAGAGTGGACAGACCTCGGAGAAACAAAGTCCTCGGCGAACTCTGGGAATGAGAAGAGTTGTGCAGGTAGTGTGGGCTGGAGAGTGAGATAAAGATTAGAGAGCCGAGACAGATGTGTCAGTCAGGGAGAAGACTGGTCAAGAAGTAGCCCACCCCCAGTGAGCTACTTCTCCCAAAACTCTGCCACCTAAAGGTTCCACAACCTTCCAAAATGGCACCTCCAACCAGAGACCAAGTGCTTAAACTTAGGAGCCAATGGAGAATATTTCAGTTCAGACCACAAGAGAGCGTCAGTATTAGGTCAGGGGAGTAGTGAATGCAGTGGAGCCTGCAGCCTGTAGGCAACAGAGAACCATGAAATGTTTCTAAATTTATTTAGAGTTTTAGACCAGTATGGCTTGGAGATTTAGAAGGGACAAGTTAAAACAAACAGAACCAAAGCATTAAGAAGCAGTGGGAGTGGCTGAGATCAAAGATAATTAGAGTTTGAACTGGAGTTGGCCACAACTGTAGGGATGGAAGCACACAGCTACCAGAACTAGAAACCGTTAAAACTGATGATCTGTCTGTCAGTCCTGTGAAGCGGCCAGGGAGTGATTAGTTCTCCATTTACAGCACAACAGAACTGACAACCCAGTGACTTGCCCAAGGTCACACAGCCAATAAATGGCAGAGCCCAGGCTGGATCTCAGCTTTCCTGACTCAGCACATGGTTCAGGATGATGGTCCCTTGCTGCCTCTCTTTGTGAATGTGCTTAACAGACTGTTCTAGTGTCAAAGGACGTGAGGGTCTCATATCCAAGAAGTGAACAACTCAGCAGCTAATGTGGGAGCCTGCTGTGACAGGGGTCGTAGCCCTCCACGTGGTTTGGTTTTCCCCTTTCTGTTCTTTTTACACATAAAGTACATAAAGTCTTAAGTGAACAGCTTAATAATGTTTTCATATGTGATACATCTGTACTCAACTATTGCTTAATTCAAAGAATAAAACATTTTTAAGAAGTAGTTCCTCTTCGGCATCCCAAAACAGGTCTGCCTGATGGGGAGCTCTGTCTATAGCCATGCTGCTAAAAGCTTCATACGATTGGGATTGGTTTCATGGAGCAGCTGAGCTCTGCATTGCTGCCACCATCAGAAGGATTCCTGTAGAGCTGAACAGAGAAACCGGATCATACAGTCAATGAAGAGGTTTAATTGACTGCTAAAAGATCATTTTCATTCTGTCTTCACATGTATCTGATTATTTAAATTATTGACTATTCTAGCATAAGGGAAAGACACAACTGGATGTGGTGGAGCAGTCTTAACCCCAGACCCAAGGAGGCAGAGGCAGGTGGATCTCTCAGTTCCAGAAGAGCCAGGACTAATACACAAGAACCCCTGTCTCAAAAAACAAACAAACAAAAAGAAAAGACACAGAAAATTCTGTTTGCTTCCAGTATCTAATAAAACCTGAAGAAACTTCCCCTTTATTTGAAAAATGTAAAGTTTGGCGTAAGTGATCACTTAGGAAAGACAATCAGTGGCACTTGCTTCTTCCCCGGTTAAGCTGCAGCATTATTTTACTGTGACATGCTGTCTTGTTCACTCCCTGGTTGATGTGTGGCTGAGTTGTATCCCCAGTCAACAGTAAGTACCTTGTGTGCAGTGACGTAACCCAGGCGTGTTCCTATCCACCATGGCACTCCCCTCAGTGCTGAGTACAGTTAGGCCTCAGTATTCTGTGGCTAATTTTGATTTAACTTCAGTTGTCACACAGTCCTTCAGGCAATTGTCAGACTTTTGGCTTATAATGAAAAGTGTAAGTATGCCCTCACTCAGAAGAAGGAAAAAAAGCCAAAAATAGAACAAATCAGGACCCAGGACTTCTAAATTTTCCAAATTCTTATGACCAAATTTAGACCTCTTGGTCCTTGGTAGAGCCTCACTGAGATCTTAGGGCATGGAACTGCTCTATTTGACTTCTCAGAGCTACACATTTGACACAGCAGGGAATTGTTTGAGGATAGTTGTGGCCGTCCAGCCACATGGAATGTCAATCCCTGAATTTGGAGACATTGTGAGAAGATTTTGACACTAATTGGGTCCTTCCACCTTCTGGACAAAAACACTGAAGATGTTTATTTAAAGTAGATTCCCTCCTCCTGCAGGGGCTACACACCTGTGTCTGGCTGTCTAGTAAGGACTCTGGGCTCTACATGGAATTGTGTTGTCTCCATTTATTTCTCTTGCCAGATTCTCCTTTTAGTGTCACTCCCCTGCCCATGATTTCCTCCTCATTCCTCAGCATTTGCTATGTATGTTGCGGGCCATTAATGCAAGCACAGTCAGCCTATGCAGCTACGTTCTGATTCTAGTTCAGAAAAAAAAAAAAAAAACAGCAAAATCCACAGCCTTCTCTAGCCATTATAATTCTGTGATAGAAAGAATAGAGATGTTAGTTGGAAACCAGGCCACAAAGGCATTGCAGAATCTCTCCGGAGGTAGCAGATCCTGTAGGAATCAATGTGACCAGCAGACTTTCTTCTTATGCTTCCCTGTCTTTCCTTAACCCTTTATTAAATATTTCAAGTTTATCTGATTGTTGCCAGTCCAGCCCCACTTCTGTTAACATACTTAACAATCTGTTAGCACTGTGTCTAAGACTCCCAAGATCTTATTAGATTGTAAAAGATGTTATAAAGAAAGAAATTAATCCTTTTTTAACTATAAGATAGAAATTTAGATAAAGCGTCTCCTCTGGTATTTAAAAGAATAGTTTTCTTTTTTCCTTTCCTTCTTTTCTTCTTCCTTCCTTCCTTTTTTTTTTTAAGGCATTTCTCTCCTATTTCCTCTTTCCCTCAGGATACCATGATGGTAGTAAGTTTTTTTTTAAGACATTCCCCACATCTAGAACACTTAATGAAATTTCTTAAGTTGAGCTTTCCTGGGAAGTCTCTACAGATTTTAAACTAATTCTATAATATACCTACCCCAAGTTTGACACTTTCATAATGGCCATCAGATTTCCAGACGTATGCACAAGGTGTCCATCTGCCCCTGGCTAATGTGCAGCAGGGGTTGGCAAGGGGTGCAGCTGTGGTCCCAGCTCCTCACAGCTGTTAGAGGGGTGCCATCCCAAGGCTCATGTACAATGGTAGTTACTTGGAAGCAATTCACAACTTTTTTTTTTTTTTTTTTTTTTTTTTTTTTTTTTTTAAGACAGAGTTTCACTGCATAGCGCAGACTGACCTCTGCCTCCCAAGTACTTGGATTAAAGGACTGTGCCACCATACCTGGTGCAACCCACAACGTATTAACCTTACCTCCAGACGAGATTTCAGACCAGAGGGATTTTTTAAGACTCACTTAATTTGGCCCAGTACAGTGTCTTCATGTTAATGAGGAAGTAGTAGAGGAATACACCACAGTTTAGGTCAGATGGAAAAGTCCTGTTTCTCAGTTTTTAAGGAGGTCCTTTAGAAGCTCAGTTCAGCACTTCTCCCACCCGCTCCCCATCTCAAGAAGGCTGAATCATTGTGTGTCTGAGCAGGCTCCTTGAGTTATGTTTCTGTCTGGCACAAGACCCTTGCTTTTGTGTCTGTAATTGGTGGTGCCCACTTCATACTCTGCCTAATGCCATTTTTGTGTCTTCCCCAAGCCACTCTGCTGATGAAACAGGCCTGGCCACAGAGCTCATCGTCCTGCGGCACTGAAGGCACCTTCCACCTCCCAGTGGACACTGGGGCCGAGAACCGAACTTACCAAGCCTCCTCTGCGGCTTTCAGTAAATACAGCCTGTCTCCTCCTCTCCTTGCTCCCCTGGGTCGGGACTGATTTGTTCCTTAGGAAGAAAGGAAAGGGATTGGGGGGGGGGGGGTTGTTGTTGTTTTTGTTTGTTTGTTTGTTTGTTTTATTTTGGTGGGGTTGAGACAGGGTTTCTCTGTAGCTTTGGAGCCTGTCCTGGAACTTGCTCTTGTAGACCAGGCTGGCCTTGAACTCACAGAGATCTGCCTGCCTTTGCCTCCCAAGTGCTGGGATTAAAGGCGTGCACAACCACCACCAGTCAGGAAAGGGAATTTTTAAAATGACATTTTTAGTATAAACGCTGTTTTAAGAGGTTCTTTTAGTCATGCAAAAAAAAAAAATGGCTTTTGTCATTCAAGAATGATGATCATCTGGGATCATGCCTTCGGGATATCCACAGCAGTGAGGGAGGAGTGTGCCTGGGTCAAGAATTTGGGTTTGTGAAAGACAATGACTTCATTTTAGGGGAAGGATCAAGGCACAATTGAAGGCTTTGTGTGTCTTTTCCTACCCACAGGATTTCTGACCTTAGCACTGTTGGCATCTGGGACACAGGAGTTTTTTCCTATGCTTGGTAGGATGTTTAGCAGTGACTGTAACTTCTCTCTGTTAGATCATTGTCATGGGGCTGGAGGGATGGCTCAGAGGTTAAGAGCATTGCCTGCTCTCCCAGAGGTCCTGAGTTCAATTCCCAGCAACCACATGGTGGCTCACAACCATCTGTAATGAGGTCTGGTGCCCTCTTCTGGCTGCAGACATGCACACAGACAGAATATTGTAAAATAAATAAATAAATAAATAAATAAATAATCATTGTCACTACCAAAAATGTCTCCACATAGGGCTCAGTATTCCTCACTGCCCTAGTTCATGCACACTTTGGGAACATGGTATGACATGGACAGACACCAGTAGCCACATTGGTCATGTTCAGCCTGAGGCTGACTAATGTGGTCACCTTTCCAGCTGATGGTAACACAGATGATTTAGAAATCCTGAATGGAAGAACTTGTGCCTGTGGCAGCTGTTGGGCATTGGAATGACTGGCTTTGGATGTGATGAGCTGATGAGCGCTGGTTTCTTTTTTTGTTCCTTTTCTGTGGGTTTTCTTATCATCTTTTCTTATAGGGGAGTGGAGGAGCTAAAATGTGCTGGGGATCAAACCCAGGACTTTGCACATTCCACCCCAGTGCTGTACTTTTTTTTTTTTTTTTTTTTTTTTTTTTTTTTTTT